TGCCCATCCCTAATTGCCCTGAGGGCAGTTAACAGTCAACAGCATTGCTGTGGATCTGGAGTCAGTTGTGATCCAAACCAGGTAAGGATGACAGTTTCCTTCTCTGAAGGATAATCAGTGAACCAGATGGGTTTTTCTGACAATTGACGACAGATTCACAGTCATCATTAGGCTCTTAATTCCAGATTTACATTGAATACAACTTCCACCATCTGCCATGGTGGGATTCAAACCCGGGTTCCCAGAATATTACTTGGGTCTCTAGGTTAACAGTCCAGCGATGAGACCACTAAGCCATCGCCTTCCCATGGATCATTTGACCATTTGATCATTTTAAAAGCACTTGTCACGGGGAAATGAGATGAAGCGGTGTGATCTTGCAAAAATTGCATCAGTAACTTTGTGGGTTGAAGATTGAGAGATTCCGTTCCATTTCACAGTGAATACTTGGGAGTAGCCAGTTGCACAAAAATCTAGATCAGCTGTTACCATGACAGCCACTGGTCCAGGATGGTCACTCACTATCTCAAGTCTGGCTCAGAGGTCCTATTTCAGCAGTTCATATATCCTCTGACAGTGTCCAGGGACATCCTTTCTGTGACACCACTGTACCTCATACATTGGGAAGAAATGGCATCGCAGATAATAGATTATAGACAGCCTGCAGCTTCTCCACATCCTAAGGGGTCCCTCAGCAGCAACTTCTTCATGTGGAGGCTGTTCAGGTGGCTGCTGGAGGTTGCTATTGGTCTTGGGTTTCTGACAATTTTCATCCGTCTTCAATTCTGAATTCCTCAACCCTTGCTCTGTGCATCTGTTGGTCAAGGGTCCAATGAGCCAGTGTTGGGAATATGAGAAACTGAATATGCTCTTAGTAATGTGAGAAGTCATCATTTGTATCACACACAAATGACAGTTTTGCAATATCCGTCATACTTGGTGCAAAGGTGACTCAAACAAGGTTGGCCACAGAATACCTGTACCAGTACCTAGGCCTTTGATTGATGGAACTTATCCCAATAGTTGCAGCACAAGTCATACTGTGCAAATGCAGCAGGAAATTGCAAAAATTGCAGGAGGATTACTGAAAACTTGTCTCCCCATTTATGACCCAATATCACCCAATACCACACTTCCTCCAGCCACAACACCTCCCCACAGTCCTACGGTACCTTCACCTGCAACCGGCGAAGGTGTAACACCTGCCCATTTACCTCCTCCCTCCCCAGTATCCAAGGGCCCAAACATACCTTCCAGGTGAAGCAACACTTCACCTGCACTTCCCAGAATCTAGTCTACTGCATTCGCTGCTCACAATGTGGTCTCCTCTACACTGGGGAAACGAAGCTTAGACTTGGCGACCGCTTCGCAGAACATCTACTTTCTGCTCGCAAAAAAGACCCTGAACTACCTATTGCCTGCCACTTCAATGCACCACCTTGCTCCCTGGCCAACATCTCTGTCTCCGGCTTGCTACAGTATTCCAGTGAAGCCCAACACAAGCTGGAGGAACAACACCTCATTTTCCGCTTGGGGACCCCTACAGCCCTCCGGACTCAACATTGAGTTCAATAATTTTAGGGCCTAAACTCTCCCATGTTCCAGCCCCCCACCCCACATAGCCTGCCATTTCACACCCCCTGTTGTTAGTCACTAACAGTCCCTATTAACAACTATTCACCCTCCCAGCCTGATCGTTAGCAACTCCTTTGTCTACCCAACTGTCTTTCTCTCTCTTTGGGCTCTAACCTATCGTTTACTCCCTACCCCACCCACCTCCCTATTTTCTGCATATAAACTGACGTCTTCCCAGCCACCATCAGTTCTGAGGAAGGGTCACTGGACCCAAAACATTAACTCTGTTTTCTCCTTCACAGATGCTGCCAGACCTGCGGAGCTTTTCCAGCAACTTTGTTTTTGCCATACAAGAATTGCAACCTTGCACTTAAGAATATGTTGTCAAGAACTTACAGCTCAAAATGAGAGGAAATCAGCTCCATGCTTTTCTGTAGCCAATGAGATCCTAGAATGCATTTGTGAATTGTGGGGTCCCGCAAATCTTTTAAGGTGACCTTCTGATTACTTCTGCTTCATAGAATCATAGAATCCCTACAGTGTGGAAGCAGGCCATTCAGCCCATAGAGTCCACATTGACCCTCCTGAAGAGCATCCCATCAAGACTCATCCCCCTATCCTATTCCTGTAACCCTGAATTTCCTATGGCTGATCCACCAAGCCTGCACATCCTTGGACATTATGAGCAATTTAGTATGGCCAATCCAACTAACATCTTTGGATTGTGGGAGGAAACCAGAGCACCCAGAGGAAATCCACGCAGACACGGGGCGAATGTGCAAACTCCACACAGACAGTAGTCCGAGGGTAGAAGAGAAAGAGATGACTGTGATTAATCCATAATGACCCATGAGATGATCAAGACTGCTATTCACCAGGATCCGTATTCCACATAGCCTGGATGTTGCATGCATTTCACATGCAGGATGCTTTGATTACAGACGCCTTCAAACTGTACTGTGAAAGTACCTAATTATTACATTTGTCTCTTGAAGGACATCCAAGTGCTCACACATACAGCCCACATGTTCGGACTGGGGGAAAACAAGTCTCAGTTACCCCATTCTGAGTGTCTTCATAGTCATTTTCCATTGTGCAATGCAGAAGTGGATGGAAATTTTGCCTGACAGAGTGAGTCACATGCTCCATCTGGAAATTAAATTGCATCCCCACTGCCCCCACCTCTACCCCACCCCCGACTATACCATGTCAGTTCTGAGATTCCACACATTCGTAACAAAATCTTTTATTTGTATCTCCATCTCCCAGAATTACCCCCTCACCCAAGTCCCTTAACCTTGTCAATCATTGTGCCACGCTACCAAAGCCAGTGTACTTATAATTGTCAATGAACTCAACTCCTGCAATAGTACACATCCTCCTGTACGCTATCATCTCCTGCCCTTAAATGCTGCACTGTCTCCCTTCACTACTATTTTTGCCTCTCCATCCCAGTATGTAGCCATCAATCTCCAGAATGGACCTCTCCAGCTTCCGTACCACTGCAGTGACCCCTGATAAACTGCTTAATATCATTGAAAAGGACCCCAGAAATGCATGTGGTCCACCTCCTGACAAAATTGGATGGATTGCCCTGACTGATGAGTAACTGAACCTATGGCTAATCTCTGTTCAGCTTCCTTACTGGCTTACCACAGAGCTCTGGTCTGACGCAATTGGACCTTCAAGATAGGCCTTGGCACAATTCCCAAATGGTAGTGATTTAGAACATCTGATTCTGACCATCCCGCGCATGTGAAAGCCCCTGGATTGAGAACAGACTGACTGTGACTAAACACCACCATCACCCCTCCCCTCCCCACACACACAAATGATGACAGTCCTCTTTGACTGGACTGAGGACCACTCTTATTAGACTTTGAGACATGACCATTTGCTTGAAGAATATTCAGTGTGTTTTCTGCATCATGTTGTAGTTGTCATAGCTTAGTGGTGTACAGCAACATGCCCATCTCCCTGACTGATGACTGCTGACAGCCATGAGAAGCTGCCTAGCTTTGCATCAGCACTAAACAGCAAGGCAACACAGCAATACTGCGAGTTCTTTAAGTCCCAAAAGAGGCAGCCAAGCACAAAAGGGCAACACATGTCAGAGATGCTTCAGGCACAAAGTGAGCACGCATTAAGAAAGCAAGCTAGCATCCCTGAGATCCAGCCTGGTTCAAAACGTGAGATGTGTTCTCATTCCTGTGCCCTGAGTGGTCTCTTAGCTTGATCACAATTAAAGGATCCTGTGCATGCTAAAGTGCAGTATTGATGTGGAAAACTGCACTCAAAGTGTGTCATGACAATAATGTGAGGTCAGTGTTTGTCTGATGCCAATATCCAAGGATGAGGGGTACTGGTGGTCACTGCCCACGAATTAGAACACAAGATGCTGGAGATGCCTGTCCAAGATGAAGGTCCAGAGAAACAAGGGGATAAGCTAAAGCTGCTGGGTAGTCGCTCGTCTACTTTCCCTCCACTGCAAGGGAGAATAGGAAACAGTACATACATTAAGTGAGATTAGATACTAATGACATGATAATGCATGCTAATTCATGTCTCACCAATCACAAGTGAGATTTTCATTTCACAGTTGAAAACCTGGTTTCAGAATTGGCTTTTTTTCTTGATGTTGAAAATCTTATTTTTCCAACCTCCCCACATTTTTCCGAACTGCTCATCATTGCCCATGTCATTTAGAAGCTGGGAAGTTCAGTCCAAAACTCCAGTGAACGCAAATTATTCATCAGCAATCTAATTGGTATCCAACCTTGCCAATCACATCGACACCATCAACGCTCACTCAACACTGAACCCTCCTCCCGCGCATTAACTTCCCCAGTCATCATCCCCAGCTCCTTAAATAGAAGCAGAAACTGCTAGAGAAACTCCATCCATGGAGAGAGATACAGAGTTCACGTTTTAAGTCCAATGTGGCTCTTCTCCAGAATCCCTACCTCCTCGCTCAGTCTGACCTACGTGCGACTTCAATTTCACATTAATCATGATTAATCCCCTTATTGATTGGCCTAGGAGAATATATTACAGTTGTTCAAAAATAAATTCCACCACCTTTTCACGGACAGGTTGGGGTGGCCAATAAATGTGCGGCAACGCCCACATCCTGAGAAGGAATTACAAAAGTCATTTGAAAGTTTCAAGTGACAATCGGCTGCACAGATGGGCAAACATCACAATGGCTACTTTACATTTTACGTCATTTCCTAATTCACATAGACAGGAGTTACTCCAAATGTGAATCATGCTGACACATAGCATGTTGCAGAAGCTTTTCATTTTTCACTCATCAGGACAAATTCAAGAATGCCAAATTTCAAACGATCACAGCCATATGTACTCCGGGAGAAAAGTGTGCTGAGTAAACAGAAATCAAACAATGTAGCACTTGGATCTCATACCTCATCCATCCATTCCTTAAAGGATCTTTCCCATTTTCCTGGTTTCTCTAGGTGTAGATAGGTGTCAAAAAGAATAAGGTAAAGAATAAGGTACTGCAGACTACGCAAGTGTAACGTTGAAGCATTGTCTTTGTCCTTTGCCCCTTTTGACTGAAATAAACAAAATGAACAATGTTTTGAAAAGATAAAATTTCTGATTAATGCTTGTTGTAAAATCAACTTTGGACCATTTGTACTAATACCAGAGCCTCATTAGTTGATCATGTGGATTCAAATGTTATAATGTTGACAGACTATGCTGGGGTATGGGAGAAAGTACATAGTCTACTTAAAAGTGAGAATGTTACCAATTCCCAAGTCAGATAGCGGGGGAGAAGCAGTTATACAAACAGGTAGTAAAGCAGCACCTCTACTGGTAGCTTACCAGTGCTGGAGTTTGAGGCTCTTTTGTGGCCAATTGATGACCACTTTATGGTCTCCTCTCACTACTGTTGAGGGCTTTCTACGCCACCAAGTGAGGCCACATGCTATACCCTGGTAATCTGGCTTCAAGGGCTCAGAGAAAGAGGTGGATGTTGCCTCCAGCTTAGGTACCCTGGCCCTAACAGCAAAAAGAGATGACCCCACTTGAGCATGACCCTAGCAGCAGGTCATCTCACCCAGTTTGTACTCCAACCTCCTTGCTGTTGTTGTTCAGAGATGAGTTGCAGTGCCAGGTATGACCACTTCTCCCAGTCAGACTGCTAGGATTGGAGAGCTGCTGGTTTTCTGGGTCATCTGATTGGCTGGGCAGCTCTTGGAGGTGGAACATCCTTTCACATGGGGGCAGAAGTACAACATCAGGCAAATCACTGCATAAGGTTGGCAAAGGCTTTGTGCACCTTCCCATGCCAGCAGAGGTAGGCTCACACCAGACATTTCAGCCACAATCTCTGTGTAAAATTCAGTGCCAGAACTTAGTAAAGGATTTGTAAGAGATCTTCAGATTGCAAGTCTCTTTTGATTAGTTGATATATCTTGATTTTTTTCCACATAACAGGTAGATAAATAATTGCAGTCCCTTAAATAAACCTCTGCACGTAACATGGGAGGCACTTATTCCATTTACTATTCACTTGATTATGATATGAAATGTAAAGCCACTGAGTAATCTAATAGTAACACTTTTCATTTGGAGTGGCACAAAAGTGATCTGCATACCAAGGCACATTGTAAACTGAGATCTGTGTATGATTTATGTATCCATTCCTTCTCCTTACCTGGCAACTGAGAATCATTTCTTTGTATTCCTTTGTTACTTTTAAACATTTTTCAGTTTTTCTTTCAAATGCTTTGTTAGTGGAAATTGCTACATGATGTTTTCCTAATTCTATTTACTATCAGACAGATTTAACACTGAGAAACAAGCTCATATTGAGGAGTTTGAAACCATCTTTAACAGAATCTCCCCAGTGATAAACTCCATTAAAGTAATAAGATGAATTGGTTTAATGAATGACTCCAGGTATTCCTGCTATAATGTGTGTTTCATTAACACAAATTGGCTGTAACGCGATTGATGAATAGTGGATGCTGTTTGGATAACACAAATTTTCTACTGTACAGTGTAGCAATTTCCCTATAATGTGATTTTCTACAGCATGAGACCACACAAACACAACTATCACATTATAGGAGAAATACCTGTAGCCTGGTAGAAAGTAACTTAGATGGACATTTAGTTTTCATCTAGCACTTCCTAGATTCATAGAATCCCTAGGAAAAGTGTGGAAATAATGCATTCAGCCCATCCCAATCATCCAAAGAGCATCCCATCCAGACCCACCTCATGCCTGTAACTCTACATTTCCCATGGCCAATCCACCTAACCTGCACATCTTTGGACTATGGGAGGAAACCAGAGCACCCAGAGGAAACCCAAGCAGACATGGAGAGAACATGCAAACTCCACACAGACAGTCACCTGAGGGTAGAATCAAACCCGGGTCCCTTGAGGTAGGAGTGCTAACCACTGAGCCACCATGTCACCTAAAAAAAATGTAAAAACTCAAGGTGAATGACCTTTTGGTATGGATTGAGGGATGTCAGAGAAGAAACAATAGGCTCAGAGATTCAGATCACAATTCATCAAGCCTTTGACAGCTAAGTTGTGTTGGGATGCTGGAGGGTAGTAAATGTCACACCTTTGCCCAATGAAGGGAGCTTAGAATAACATGGATGGTTGAGGTGAAAAAATAATTAGAATTTATCATTTAAGATCTAGGGATCAAGGACAGTCAGTGTGGACTTCTGAAAGACATTTTGCAAAACCCTGTATTTTTTGATGTAATAACAGACTGGATAGCATAAAAGGGATGTAAGAGCATATCTTCAATAGGAAGAGGTAAAACATAAATTTTCAGAAGGCTTTTAAATAGGTCTATTCATGCAATTTCATGTAGTTCATGCAATTTCTCGACCCAACAGACTTGCCAACACCTACAGTGGTCCAAACATCTGTCCTGATGAAGAGTTGAGGCCAGAAACATTGACTTTCCTGCTCCTTTGTTGCTGCCTGGTCTGCTGTGTTCCTCCAGCTCCACACTGTACTGACTCTGATCCCTGCATCGGCAGTTCTTACTATCTCACCCAAACTTGTACCCCTCTTTGCTTTCACCACTGCATTGGATTAATTTAAATAAGGCCCATAGCTCAACAGTGAGGAACTCCAGGCCTCACCAATCAGATGCAGAGAATGAACGCTGCATCTGCAAAAATAAAATTAATTCATCTTTTCTCGTAGCGAATGCTCCCCTGTGTAACAGCAACTATAATAGGACTGAATTTTACGTTTAGTTTGAGGGAGAAAAGAGTGGATCAAAGATTATTATACTAAACTTAAAGTAAGACCATAAGAAATAGGAACAGTAGTCAGCCATTCAGCCCCTCAAACTGCTCCACCATTATATAGGATCATGGTTGATCTGACAGTCCTCACATCCGCTTTCCTGCCCTTTTCCCTGTATGCCTTCATTCCTGTACTGATCAAAAATCTATCTGTCTCAGACTTAAATGTACACAAGGACTCTGCCCAGACAGCTCTCTGTGGTATGGACTTCCAAAGACTCTCTATCCTCTGAGAGAAGAAATGCATCCTCATTTCTATCTAAACTGGCACTCCTTTATTCTGAGACTGTGCCCTCTGGCCCTAGGGTCTCCCATCAGGGGGAACATCCTCTCAACATTTACTCTGTCAAGACCCTATGTGTTTCAATGAGATAACTGTCATTCTTCAAAATTCTAGTGAGATAAATCCCAATCTGTTTAGCCTTTGCTCATAAAACAATTTTCGTACGAAGGATCATCCCAGTGAACCTTTCCTGAACTGCATCCAATAGAATATCTTTTCTTAAGCAAAGGAACCAAAACTGCCGACAGTGCTCCAGATGTGGTCTCACCAGCACCTTGCACAGTTGCAGTAAGATTTCCCTACTCTTATACTCCGACCCCCTTGAAATAAAAGCCAACATTCCATTAGCCTTCCTGATTACCTGCTGCACCTCTATGCTAGCTTTCTGTGTTTCATGCACAAGTATCCCCAAGTCCCTTTGTGTTACAGTTTTCTGCAGGTTTCTCTCCATTTAAATAATGTTTTTACCTTCCTTCCAAAATGAATGATAAGGAAATGAAAGCAGAGCTAGTTAAAGTAGTCTACCCAATTGGGTTAAGTGATAGGTTGACAGAAATGCAGTGGCTGGCATTTATTCCACCATGCACAGAAAGAAAAAGATCCAAAGGAAGGATTCGCCATTCATAAAAACCGAAAGAACTGTGGATACTGTAAATCAGGAACCAAAACAGAAATTGCTGGGAAAGCTCAGCAGGTCTGGCAGCATCTGTGAAGAAAAAATCAGAGTTAACGTTTCGGGTCCAGTG